CTCCCTCGGCCCAGTCTCACATCTCCCGCTGTCAGGCCGTTTGGGCGGAGACCAGGGCCGCCTTGCTGCGCACAGCCGATCAAAACAAACGGCTGGCCGATCGCCGCCGTCGAGCCGCTCCTACTTATCAGGTTGGGCAACAAGTGTGGCTCTCCTCTGCCCATGTCCCCATCAAAGGTGCCTGCCCCAAGCTCTTGCCCCGGTTCCTAGGGCCCTTCATCAACCAGGAAATCATTCACCCCACTGCCATCAGACTCAAGCTCCCTGATTCCCTCCGTATTCACCCTGTTTTTCATGTTTCACAGATCAAACCAGTCTCCTCCAGTCCCCTCTGTCCACCACTGGCTCCACCTCCTCCTGCCCTGGAGGTGGACGGTGGCCTTGCATTCACCGTCAGGCAGATCCTGGATGTTCGCCCTAGGGGCCGGGGTTTCCAATATCTGGTGGACTGGGAGGGTTATGGTCCGGAGGCGCGTTCCTGGATTCCCCGCTCCTTTATTTTAGATCCTGCCCTTCTCACCTCTTTCTATCAGGCGCACCCGGGCAAACCTGCTGTCTTTGATCAGTTTGAGCCTGTATTTTTGCCTATGCTATCTGAACTGGTTCACCACATGCACCACAAAGCATCTCACTGTTCTTTGGATTGTTTGCCAACTAGATTGTTTAAGGATGTTTTTGACAACAGTGTGGCAGATATCAACATTCAGGTTGCCAAGGGTTCTTGACATTACATTGGATTTCAGCACAATTAGAGCTACAGTATGTAACTTTTTAAAACAAACATTGTTATTGTAGAAATATCTTTCAAAAACTGTCTTGAGGTGCTGTCGAAGCCTCCTGTGACCTACAGTAGGTTCATTGAACAGCACTGGCAGCAGTGCAGAGATTTTAACCTCTGTAACCAACCAGAGATTTTAAATTATTGTGCTTGATCAGTAGTTTCTGTTGCATTCTCATCTCCTAACTTCATAATGAGAAATATCTGAAGAGCTGGGCAGAGCGTGGTGGGAGTGGTAGATTGTAGTATGGACAGGGAGCACAGTGGACTGATTTGGAGTTTCATGTTAATGCTACCTTAAGTTACCCACTGTAGCTTTCTGGGTGAATTTCTCAGCAGTGGCATGTTTTTGGAGGAATGTTTTCTTCCAGTTTAATCTGCCAAGATTATTACCTTGACATCTGATTTGTTGACTACAAGTGCTTTCACCATTACCTGCAATTATAGAATTATTTATTATCAAACAGGTTTACATTGCACAGTACACCACAGTATGACATAAAAGGCAGACATTAAGTGATAAAATAGTGACGCGGATCCTAGAAGTGACTGTTGAGGCTTAAATCCTTATAAAATGGCAGGTGTTCATAACACAACTGAGAAAAGGTTGATGATTGATTAGACACTAAGCTGAAAACCCTAAACAGGGACCTCATTATGAATGTTTTCTGGGAAAGCAACACGTGTCCATGTGCAGCAAAGTGGTTTGTAGTGTTTCAGCCTCAATGCTACATTTACTTTCTGTTCACCCAATTAAATATAAAGTGGACAAAAGTACCATAAGTGAATAACACAATCACAAACTATTGTGACTTCTGCAACGTAAATGCATAAAAATTGTTATATATTCAGGAAGTTTGACTGAATTTAAAATGATTCACTTCTAGCACTATCTTAAAGCAGAAGCTCTCATTCATTGCATAAATTAGTTTCAGTTTTGCCTTTAGTGTATTTTTTGAAGCAATCAAACTGCTGGGAATCTCTCAATCTTTAAACATGACCAGATCAAAATGGAATATCTGTGTGTGTGACACTGGTTGAAATTAACTGTTGCAGAGTAAAGAGTCACCTTCAGTCAGTTTCTCGATAAGCACAGTGATAACGTAAGCAAAATCTGTCTGTATGTATGTAAAGTTTAATTTATGAGTCAGTACAAGTCCCAGTTGTTAACAGAGTGAAAATGATATAGGGGGAAGTTAATGTTGACACATGACTTGTGTGTGCATTATGGCCATGTGACTGGTGAAAGACAGCAAACAGTGATATAAGAAGCAAGATATGCAAATACATAAACATTGTACAGTATATAAACATCCACCTTTTTGTTCTTGTGGCCAATTGGCAAAAGGAAGACTTGTTTATGTCAAAGACAAAGTAAACTAAGAGGCCATATAAAAAAGACAAAGTAATCTGTTATAGGAAAAAAACATTTTAAAAAGTTTCCATGTAGCTGCCTGGAGCTATCCTGTGAAGTCGCATAAAAAAAGGAATTTTAGACCTGCCATTTCCAGGCCTGAAAGTGCTGAGAAACCATCTTTGGACATTCCCATTAATAATATCTGGTCAGCAAGAAAGAGCAGGAGAATAAAGTCATTAAAAGAGCATCTCTTCACAACATAGGAGTTTATCAGAGGAGTGCCGGTATCAGAAGAAACGTCTCTGATGGGAGCAGAAGGAGATGGGTGAGGAGGCTCAGATGAGGGAGATGCCTATAGGGAGGGTGGGTGACTCTGTCCTATGCTGAGGGGAATGATGGGACACCACGTGTTCCACCACTGAGTGTTTAACCACATGCTTCATAAGGTACGTTTCCTGGGTGGGTGGGGGGAGAAAACACTTTTAGACATCACTACTGCAGTAAATTCAGAGTTTAAAATCGAACTTGAGTATGGACCTCCGACTCACTGAGGTGTACGCCCTGCCACACATGCTGCAACAGTAGGCCCTGGCGTTTTTCACGGCATGAGCAGACAGGTGGATCTGCAGCGAGGCAGAGTCTGAGTAGGCACGGTAACAGTTGGAACATTTGAAGGGCTTGTCTTTATTGTGCTGCCTCTGGTGAGACTTCAAGAAAGACAAAACATCCATCAACTGAGGCACCTCCCTCCAACTGCCTAACAAAGGGTCACAAATCAAGCCAAGCAGGTGAGGACTGAGGTGGGAAAACAAGTGCAGGAGAAAGCAGTTACCTGCAGATTAGACAGCTGTGTAAAAGCTTTTTCACATCCTGGATGGGCGCATTTATATGGCCGATCACCTGTGTGGATTCTGAAATAGGAACGATGAGCCAACATTAGCCAAATGAAACTCTTTTCAGACAGGAAACTGACAAAACTTGCAATGCTTTGAAATATAACTGAAGTAAAGTAACTACTCAAGTGACAAGAGCTGCCAAAAATTTTCTTACACAAATTCTCAGCTCAAAGTTTGATGACCAAACATGCTGCAAGTTTGTTTCCAGTTAAATTTTTTTTTAAGGTTAAATCTGTTTCATCTTTAGTTGCATGGTGACATGTAACCATAGCAACAAAAGCTGGACAGGCTTACTGTAAACCCGTGCACCCTGCATGCTCCTCACTAAGTCTCCAGAGTGAATACAACAAGTAGATGCAGTTTTTATTGCTACAACAAATACACAAGGTGATGTTGCAATTTGCTTAAAACTGACTGAGACTGAATTCAGGTTACAAATAATCAATTCAAGGAAACTATCTTTTTGTGCACACAAATTAACAGGCTTGTTACCCCTGATACCTGCTGGACTCTGCAGGAACTTTAAAAATAAAATTAGAAAATAAAAATGAGGGATATATAAATTTAGGAAAGGTGTTAGGGTTTTTAATCTGGCTTTTAACTGAAGGGGCCAGGGACCAAGGGGTCAGAGGCCCCGTGTATTATCACAGAAAAAAACAAAGTAAAGAGAGAGAGAGAGACCCAAAACAACAACAGAGAGATTCCCAAGCACACTGTAGTTGATTCAAAGGTCAGACCTGGTGTGCTGCTGCAGATGGGAGAGCTGGCGAAAGCATTTCTCACAGTAGGAGCAGCGGTAGGGTTTGATGCCCAGGTGTATGCGAAGGTGCTGGGCCAGGTAGGATGCATTCGCAAAGGACTTAGTACAATGAGGACACTTGTGAGCCTTAGTTTCTGTGTGTGTTTTGGAGTGAATCTGCATGTCTGACTTGGAGAAGAAGGTCAGCAGACAAACTTTACATCTGCATAGAGAAAACAGTGACAGGTAGAGGACACACATGAAGACAAAGCACAGAGCACATGGTGCCTTTTCAGCTATACTGCACGTCGCTGAACTGCTGCAGCAGCTTTACTGAGTGAGTATGAGCTATGAATCACTTCTGATCTATGAGGAATTTTTGGAGGTCTGCTTCCTTTTTGCACATCAGCTCACTGTTGGAATTACAAAACTGTGTGTAACAGATGCTGAAACACTGGAAAACCTGTGAGAAGCCACAGTTTAATGCATAGTTATTCGAAGGGCGAAGGGGGGCTTTGTGCTTTTGTGTGGCTGCAGTGTCTACCATTGGAGGAAAGTGGTTAAGTACATTTACACAAGTGCTGCACAAGTAAAATACTAAATACCAAGGCTACTTTAAACTTCTTCTTTTTCTGCAACTACATGAAGCTGGAGTACCCAGAGAGACCCCACGCAGACACAGGGAGAACATGCAAACTCCAGAAAGAGAGGCACCGGGTCGCTGGAGCTCGAACGGGGAACCTTCTTGCTGTGAGGTGACAGCGCTAATCACTTCTCCACCATGCCGCCCCCCTTGGGGGCATTAAGAAGCCCCCAAGATATTTTATTATGTGTTTTGCATGTTTAAGATGAAGTATTTATATTTTCTCTGGTACATACAGTACAATGGTGTTCTACACTATTACCAGGATTGTTCTATAAGTTGCTTGTTTTTGGCTGCTCTTATGTTTTGGTGAGCCTGGTTATATCTTATTATACTGTATTCTATATTGTAGATATAACCACTGGTTTTGTCAATCAAACTATTTCATCCTTTTTAGGACTACCTGGGGAGGTCTGAAACCTATTGTTCATGATCATCTAAAAACAACTGTGCACCCGTAGTTACACTTTGCTTGTATTGACAAGCCTGGTTAGTACCAGAAATGTAAGACTGCCAAGTGAGAGCAGCTGCATCACAAAATGTCATTTTGTACCTGTAAGTTTTTCCTTCTTTGGCAGTGATGGTGACACAAGCCTGGTCATTTCCTGAGGCTAGGATTGGGTAGGGCACCACCAACAATGAAGACCCATTCTCTGCTTTGATCTTTTTACGGCCTCGTCCCTCCTTTGGAGGAGGCCCGAGGAGCCCCACGAGACCCCCGTTGTTTTTCCCAGGCTCCATCCCATGGCTGCTGGCTAACCCTGAGATGAAGTGAGGGCTGGGAGCTCCACCCAGCCGACTATGGCTGCTTGAGGTGGGGGTGATGATCTCTGAGGAGTTGAGGTTGCCTGTTCTGGATGCCAGTGCCACACCTGATAGGTGCAACAATAAAAAGGAGAACACAATAAGTTACCGTATCACAGAGGGGTTACCTTTTTAAATGTCTCAAATGTCCCACTGGATACAGCAGAACAAAAATGTAGGTGCCACAGAATGAAGGACATACTATAAATTTTTATTACAGAGAGGATAATACCATATTTATCTGATTTACCTGTTAGTCACATTATATTCATACGCTGTTTCACTTTATGTAGACTAATTGGGTGTGCACATCTAAACTAAGGAAATGCCTTGATATTTCTGCAGAAGTCAGATTAGATAGGGCAGGAGCAGTTAGTTAGTCACATGATGTGACTATGGAGAGAGACACTAACCGAAGGTCAAAGATTGCACAATGTGCAGAATTAATAGTTTCATCATACCTCCTCTCTTCTGAGGGAGAATTGGGAACTGAGTCAAGAATAATGACCATTATTTGGAGAGAAACAAGAAAGAGTGCAAACTTGGTAAATGGTCTTATACTTGTATAGCACTTTTCTATGCCTTGCAGCATACTCAAAGCGCTTTCACACTATTTGGCCATTCACCCATTCACACACTGGTGTCATCACCAGGAGCAACTGGGGGTTCAGTGTCTTGCTCAAGGACACTTCGACACGTGGACTGGACGAGCCGGGAATCGAACCGCTAATCTAGAAAGGCTCATAAGAGTAAGAATTGTATTAAAATAGGAGGAATACTGCTGGGACTGAATCCTTTGTTCAAAGGTTTAGTAGAGACCTATGAATAGTCATGTTGCTTTAAAAACTCGTTAAAGTCATTTTATAGACAGCATTCTACCTCTACACATGTGGTATGTACAATAAATTCTGAATGACACCCACAGACTGCAAACCTGAGTAGGACAACAGTCCTTGTGTGATCACCTGAGACATGGTTTGTCCTTGAAGGATGATCCATGAGTTGACGCAGATGCCAGTCTTCCCATAATCCTCTTGCTTTTATAGCTGCCTTTTCATCCAGATTCAAGTTCACATCCCCTAGAATACGACCTGGTAAAAATTCCACAGAATGTGTGTGTATATATATATAAAACCCACACAATATACAGTACTTTACGTCACACAGTCTGTAAAAGATATGTACCACAAACAACTGTTCAGCAGTGTAAGAATAGTCTTTTTAACTGTTTTATTTTTGTCTCACTAGTAAAAACAAAATATACATAACACAATAAGAGAAACACAAAAACATTGCAAATCATGAACGAGTCCAAGAGCTGATGCAGCCTATATAGTTTAAATCTCCAGTCATGGGGACATCTGAATGCTGGTTGTTCACTACATTCATTGGATCCCCTAGAAACCTCTCTGTTTACCAGCTGTGTTCTGTAGCACCATGCACAGGCATTTTCTCAAATTCAGAGATAAGATGATCATTATCATTAATAACAGGAAAAGCACTCTTGTGTATAGCAGTATTCATGCAGAACATCTGATGGTTGTTTGTTGGCAACCTAAAACTTTCCTGGCTGTGACAGTGACTACAGCCACCTTGATTTCATGGTCGTCAGTAAAAAGCGAGGCCTGTGGAACTTGGTGAGTAGTCAGAGTTCAAGTACCTGTGACTGAGCTGGAGACGGGGAGGGCAGGGCTGGCGGGGCGGGGACGCGGGGCGACATCAGGCTGAGACAGGCTGTGGCTGTGCAGAAGTTGCATCTGCTGGGCTTTGGACATCCCGTGCTGGCCACTTTCCGCCTGACTGGGGGGAGCCAGTAAGGGCTCTTGGGAAGGTGTTGAGGCAGGGGGCAGATGTGACGGTCTGATCTTCTCCACCATCAGCTGCTCCTTGATTTTATTGATCAAGACTAGGTTATCCAGCTGACAGCCAAGGAACAACATTTGTGACAAGAAAACAGCCATCATCAGTTCAGTCAGTGTCAGTTTATGATGCGATGGCGCCCTCTAATGGCTGATATGTGACACTGTAACTCAAACTCAGACGGGAGAACAGCCGATTACTATTACCCCAGTGGTTCCCAACATTTTTTGTTTTAATTGTGACCCCTCATCACATATGTGTGCCCATGGATTGGTAGCAGAATTTTTTCCATAGTAGATTTATTTAATTTTGAGGAGTTTTAGAAACCAGAAATGGTGAAAAATGTAGGTACATTACTCATTTAAGGGATTTTTACAGGTCATAGAAGGTGACAAATAATGTCCAGTATTTCACTTATTTTAAGGTTTGATGGAGATCTAAAGAAGCAGTATCCATTATTTTTGTTAATTTGATTCAATCAACTTGTAGGAAATCAACTTTATTTGCTGTTAGAAGAGAAAATCGATGCTATTGGAAACAGCTAGCCTAGCTTTGTCCAGGTTCTCTCCACTAGCACCTCTACAGGTCATATATTAACATGTTATATCTTGTTTGTGTTATTAGTACCAAAACCAAGCAATACATCACAGTGTTGAGTGGTTATATATCTAACTATGTCTTGGCCAGTGCAATTGTCAGACAACCAGAAACTTCTGCATCTGGCCAAATAAATGTCCAGAACATAACCGTTAATAAAATAGCATACTGGCATTTTTACACTTCTGTTCTTGTATGGCTAAAACAAACAAGATGTAATGTGTTAAACAGTGACCCTCAGAGGTGCTGATTGGTGGATTCTGTTACCTTGAGACAGAGCCAGGCTAACTTCCACCCATATTTCTACTCTTTGTGCTAAGATAACTGTCTGCACTTTATATTTAGTGGATCAACTTTCAGCAAGAAGGCCAGTGAATTTCTACAAAAATCATGATTCTAAATCATTTTTACACAGAAAATTTACAGTGCCACGGCTTTACAGCTTGGTGTTCGGAAATAAGAACAAATACCAGAATCGCTCACCTGGCTGTGCATCGCAGGAGGTGGGGGCCAAAAGTAAGGATTGTTAAAGCGAGGTTCAGCCATCCTGAAATGAAGACACATGGGTCGTAAACTAAAATGATAACATGACTCAGCCGCTCCATCTGTCCATCAGTGAAAATACCTGCCAGCATATTTAGTGAGCACATAATTGCAGTTCCACTTGTACAACAGAGGCTCCCAGCCTTCTTAGCCTTTAAGTAACATTTTCTTGTGACACCATAGGTGAGTGACCTTCTTCTTTTGCTTTATTTTGACATATTCCTGTTCAAATACATAACTAATAAACAAAAGAAAGTCATTTTCAAGTATAATTTTGTATAGCATAAAATTCCTTTTCTAAATTCTGTCCCCTAGCAATCACGTTCACTCCAAGTTGGAAGCCACTGTAGCAAAATATTCCGTTTCCTGTAAATGTATGTGTAGGTCTATTGTTAGTTTAGAAAACAGCGGTCAAACAGTTGTATCAGTAGCTCTCCACTCCAGCAGCAGCTGACTCTTTGGTGTGATAATCTGAGATAACTCATCCTAGTCTTGTGACAGCGCATTTTCAAAGACATTCTGTATTAGTTCTCGTCCTTCCCTAAAAGTGTAAGAGGAGACCTAGCGTCCTACCACTTTCTCCAAAACGACACTTCATCAGAGATAGCAGAGAGGATGTTTCTGAATTACAATGGTGAGTGAAGGAGGATGTTTAAGGGATTAAGGATTTCCAAACATGTCAGCACGTTGAGCGCACTGCCTGACAGATAGGCTCTCACATGATTAAAGAGCCAGTTATGGAAATGGTTATCAGAGATAACAGACATGTAGAAACTGATGTGGCTCAGATCCTAATTGCTGCGTGTTTCCTCCTCAACGCACAGGGCCTCAGCTGCTACTGTAGGAGTCTGATGAGAAACAGTCTCACCTCAGAGGACAGCAAGACCGGTCAGGTTAGTAATCCAACTAAATATAATGAACACTGAATAACTTGCATGAGAAAACCAAGCAGGCTTGTATGTGTTACAGCAGTTTTGTTGTTACATCTGTAACTGTGACTGCCAAATAAGAGTATGACAGTTTCTCTTTTAAATAATATCTGGTGTTCATAGGCTGTAATTACACACAATGCTTGATTCAGTTGCTTTTCTCTACACTGTCAAGCCTTCTCATAAGGCAGAGGGAGCTGCTCACATTGTGATCTGAAGCCTTTTCTCTTTGCAGCCCTGTACGAAGCTCTTTTTTAAAACATTTTGCATTGCATGCTTTGGCACACTTCGCCATTCCTAAGTCTGTTTGTCTTAGGAAAGGCATAACACAGTCCATATGTGAGCCAAGAGAAGCAAAATGCTATACCCCGCAGTACAAGCATACACTAAACCCCACAAAATATTTCTCTAATGATGCCAGTGGGGAGCCGTTTCACTAACTGGAGGCTTTCTGCCTCGGGAGAGCAGGCTCAGGGGTTCGACTGCTGCTGGATGTCTTTTTGTCACTTTTCAAAACAAAACGCTTTAATGCCAGTAAAGAACTACATATGAATTACAGTTCCTGTGTGCGGCTGGACGTTCATTCCTTCCAATCAGCAGGTTAACCTTTACAGTACAGAGTCAGGTCTAAAGTGCACTGCTTTTACTTGCTTTAGGACGACGTGTGCCGCTTTTGCCATAAGAGTTTTATGTTTTTGAGGAAAAGCAGCTGAATTTCAATAAGGCTTTAATATTTATGTCAGCATTTGTTAGGTTTGTAATTATTTCCAGCAGGTTGGAAAACAGACAGTGATTCTGATGTGGGTGCATCAAAGACGAACTCAGTATTTTGTATAATAAAAAATCCTCTACACTATTATTTCGGGCTACAAATGATGATTATTTTCACTTTTAATTAATCTACAGGCTCCTCTGTTGATTACTCAATCATGTGTTTTGTCTATAAAATGCTTTTCCAGAGCACAAGGTGGCACAGATTTCTGTCCAACCAGCAGACTACAGAGTTCACAGATATTCAGTTTACTAGCATACATCTGAGGAGCAGGAACCAGAGAATGTTTAGCACTGTTGCATACAAACTGATATGATTAATAAATGATCAAAATAACTGCTGTTAATAGACAACTGTTTCATAATTACAGAGCAAAGAAACTGGTGAGTTGTTGACATAAAGGTAACACTAATAAGCCAGCTTTTAGAAAAGCTTTGTAACTTATAGCTAATGAATGTATTGACACTTTAACACATTTAGAATAAACAGAAGCATACAGAAGAGCACATTTTGTTGTCATATGACTGGTTGACCATGTACTATACTCCAATCAAAATATACTTAATCACATTCACAACTGGGAACTTGATGTCTTATTAGAAAGTGACATGCTGTTAACTTTGTAATGATGTTTATCATTAGGTAAATCTATTTCTGTGTGGTCTGTTACATGCCTTTAGTCAGAATGAGCACGAATTAATGTCTCAATATTTCTGTGTAACAATAATAATTTACAATAAACTGTCTCAACGCTGCCAAATCAAAAACACTTAATTACTGTCAGGTCACCTCTTGAAATAAACAAAAGTTAGGCTCAACCTTTCCTTGTTTGTACCTGCTGTGTTGAATTATTCCTCCGATTAAAACCAAAGCAAACAGGAGCCGAGCAGCTTTAAATGAGAACATCTCCAGAGAAGACCGGTCCTCTGCAGCGCCCCGCTTGGTCCGCCGCCTCTCCCGCATTCTCAGACAGTTTATTAAAGAATTCCAGACAAAAGGAAAACAAAAATGGCAGCCCTGTCTTATTTTTATAAGCATTGGACGCCATATTCTGCAGATCCGAATTTTATAAGCTGGTAATTCTACCGATGGAATGAAACGTTTTTGTGACGCGCCTGTGACACATTTGCATTAAGCGCACGAATGATTGTTTACTTTGATTTGCAGGTTTGAATAGCCCGGCTAGAGGAGGGGGAAAACCTGACACTTCCTACAACAATCATCATACCTTTGCGGAAAGCTCAGCAGCTTCTGAGCCATAAATTTTAACATCGATGTTAATACTGACGCGTAATGGAAGCTTTTATTTTGACGACAGAGGAAAAGAAATCGGTCTTTATCATTTCTGCGTGGAAAAGGGTCTTTTTCATTGTAACTTTTGCATGACTTAAATAGAAACGGAGGCGAAGCGACACCGGACGGCTGTGTGAGAGAGAAAGGGACAGAAGGAGGCTGAGAATTTGGATCCGAGCGGCCAACGTACCTGAACCGGCGAGGGAAGGAATATTTTGGATTAGTCTCTTCTTTCTGCTCGCACTCAGTCGGACTTCAAACCTTCCGGTTCGCCTGCTGTTCACTTCTGGGTGCTGCAGGCGAGGAACTGTTGAGCTGAAACTGATTTTTAACCCATTTTCTGGTTTTTCGTTTAAAAAGGGGTGGGGTGGGGGGGTTTAAGATGGGTTTCTTTGCATATGTTGCGGTCGCCTTTGCGCTGCAACGTGAATATGAGTGCATGGGAAGTTCACGTTTTACCCGGACAGTGACAACATTATACTGCATGTGAGAAGCTCATTTTCTCACGTGTATCATCACTGACAATGGTCTGAAATGCACAGATAGAAGGTGGTTATAGGGGAGAGACGGAACTCCACTGCTGCTGTGCAAAAAGAATATTTTGTTGCATTACAGGTGTAACTCAAGCTGTGCGTAAAGGCTGTCTGTCCCAGGTCGCCCTGCTCATGTATAGTAAATCTGAAGCCAATCCTCTCAGCAGCCTCATGGCAGGCCACTAATGTGCTGTGTGCTGAGCTCCTCAGGAGATGGCACTGCTGCACAGCAGACAGGTTCAGCTAGTGGTCAACATGATGCCTTATACTGGAGCTGAACGTGAGATGACTGCTCCTTTACATACTCACTGCACATGGCGTTAAAAAGAAAAACCTTTTAGAATTTATATTTTACTTGTATTAACAATTTGATTCTACAATCAATTTATTTATAAGGGTGAAACTGTTTTAGACAGGTGCTGATTCAACATCATGGCCATTTTGAAGGTTGTTGATTGTGGTGGTGCATCGTATGTGGTCTTAGATCATGGTAGAGCCCAATTTTATTAATGAGTATATTACTATTTAATAAGACACATTTTGTAAATGTTTTGAAAGTAGAAACTAATGCCTTTATTAATAGATGATAAATAATTTTCTTCATTAGAAGAGGTTTTGTGTTGCCAGGCTGTTTTTCGTGGTATTAATGACTTGCTTCACTGTTATTCACCGACACGTTCTTTGAGGTCAGCTAATTAGTTACTTTTGAGTGTGCCCACAACAAAGCTTAGGGGTGATCGTGTTTATTTTTAATGTATATTCTTATTTACACTGTACAGCACTTTTGTCCACCTTGGTTGTTTTTAGTGCTTTATAAATAAAGTTGGAATGGAGTATTAATGCACTTTTAAATGTTTGATTTGATTTATTCTTTCAAACATGTAAAGACAGTTGATATATCAACACACATAATTTTACACATATCCAACAAATGCTAATCCAATATCAATTTGCTTATACCTAGTACATGCTCGAATGGAGTAGGAAGAAGTCAGACTTATCCAGTCCTACCCCATGACATCATCTTACCATCATTGGTTTGCAAGCAGTATCTCTACATAAATAATTCTCTTCTACACCACACAGGTAATATACTAAAGAATTATTACAAAGTGTTAACATTCATACACCACACCCACAATGTTCCATCTAATTAATCATTAAGCCTGTTCTTGCATATATCTTGATTGACACATACCTTTATATTTATGTTTAAACTCATCAATTCTATTACTATTTTTTATGTCCACACTTAAATTATTCCATAGTTTTACCCCACTTAAGGAAATACAAAATCTTTTTTTAGTTGTACGTATAGCATGAATTTTTAAATTTAACTGACCCCTTAAATTGTATCCCCCTTCCCTTTCATTAAATAGTTTTTGAATTCCACCAGGTAATAAATTGTTCCTGGCTTTATACAAAAACACAGCAGTCTTATATCCCACTAAATCAAAAAATTTTAACAATTTAGACTGTATGAAAGCTACATTGGTGTGATCCCTATATCCCATCTTATGCACAATTCTTAGCGCTCTTTTTTGTAATATATACAATGGTTGAAGTGAGCTTCTGTATGTATTTCCCAAGTTTTCAACGCCATACTCTAAGTATGGTAAAATCAATGAAGAATACAAAACGTGTAGTGCTTTCCCGTCCAAAATATATTTAACCCTTGCCAATATCGATATATTCTTTGCTATTTTGTGCTGAACATATCTGATATGAGATTTCCAGGAGAACTGGTCATCAACTATGACACCTAGAAATTTAATTTCATATACTCGTTCTATATTAGCTCCCCCAATTTTCAATTGAAGTTCATTATCTAGTCTACGATTCCCAAATACCATAAATTTAGTTTTATCCAAATTCAGAGATACTATATTACTGTCACA